TTGAGAAACAGAGATACCTCAGCAAAGAGCCCGAGGTGGTCATGCAACATAGGATCCTGCCATATGAAAGGCAGAATTTCAGGCTGCTTGGGCAAATAAAGGTCCTGGAGGAAAGATCAGGGTCAGTTCAGACAAGACTGTTGACTTTTCAGTTGAAAACCCTTGATGTATAGCCAGTGCGGGGAGCTCACTGAAGCACTAATATGAGCTTTGCTGCTTCTATCTTCTTGCCTTCAGAAAGGTGTTGATGGGAAGAACTTGAAATTTTCATGGAAGTGGATTTACCTTCTCCATCTACTCCTAGAAGTATAGCCAGTTAATGGAAGAGAATAAGGAGCCAACTGCTATGTGAAGAGAAGATGGCTTTTCCTTCATGAAACAAAAAGTAACATTCTGGGGTCTACAGACTCAGTACTGGAGCAGGCTGTGGCCACAGTCTAGACATTTGGATGTCCTTGTAATGGATTCTTACAGAGGCATACATGATCTTGTGCCTCTCCCCAACCTCTTATTTTCTGGTCATGCTTTGTATATTAGTCCCAAAATGATAAGAATTCTTCATAACAGGGGTGATCCCTTTTAATTGCCAAAAATATTTTCGAGAGAAATCAGAAATTATATGGTGATGTGATAAAAGGGCACCTACAGTAAAGAGAATGAATTATGTAGTATTTGAAGTTTTCCTCCTATTGCACTTTTAGGTGGAGTTTGGTTTAATACATTTCATTCTGCACCTGGGTTGAAGTTTAGACAGAGAGCACCACCACGAATGCTCATTGACTGCATGGTGGGACAGTAGGAAGAAAAATAAGGTTTACATGAGTGATATCCGGGAGGCCCCCTTCCGATCTGTGATGAGCAGGTTTCTAATGATGTGTAAAGGCTTTGGTTTGGTGGAAATTCTCTCTGCAATGTCTATTCCAGAAACTTTCTTTTTTTCATAGTCAATAGAAGAGTCAGGACAAGCAATAAGCACGTAGAAAAGAGGTGACCATCATCATGCTTGATGAGGGAAGGGTCCCCTATGCACCCTGTAATGATCGCTCAGTAAACAACGATGTTCTGTGCACCAGCACTCAGCCAATGAGCCCTGATGTGTCTGGGTGGTACCCTGAGGATACTGGGTCTGAACCAAGAGCACCACTCGACTCCCACACTGCCTACGGAGAGAGAGCAGACGTGGAAGCTTGAAGCAGTATCAATCTAGGGTTATTTTGGCTCTCAGTCAATTTTAACTTCCCTTTACTGTCGCCAGGAGGTGGGAGCCCTCTGACAGCTGGAATTTGCTGGCAGTGTTTACGCAATGTTTAATAGCAAGTCAGAAGGTTCATTACAAAAGCACCAGCTACTTGCCATGGGTGCATGCTTTATTTACTGAGGTTATCCATTTACAGAATATTCAGGAAAAATCCTAACAACCCTCTGGACTCAGGTCAACTTGGCTTAAGGTTTTTCTTGAGAAGTGATCTGCTACAACAAGTACACAACTGTTATTTCTTTGCATATGGTAGGCTGTGTCAGATACTTCTATATTTGTGAAATAAATTTTCAGGGCTGTTTGACTTGTAGCATTGTTTGCCTTTCATCATTGGAAGAAGGTCAACAGAAGATAGCAGGGAAATGAGAGAGAAATAATGATTAAAGAGGAAATTGCCACTTTACGGATGCAAGTGTCATGTAGTGGAGGGAGAGTTTCCGTTTCTTCTCAGGGTGAGAAGCAGTCAGTCAGCTGGTGTGTCTGACAGTAGCATGCCCAAACTGTCCAAGGCAATCGGGCAGACCAACAGACTAAGTACTCTTGTGATTATAACTGTGGGCCTTTTTGGCGAACATTAGGTGTGAATGAATGTCCTGTTTCAAGTACAACCAGGTTCTGCCTTCTTCTGAAGTGTGTGGGTCTCGCCTGGAGGAGTTACAGCCTCCATGATGGTGTTCATCCTGGTGATCTTGCAAACATCAAGCAACTGTGCCATAACTCATGAACAATCTGACATTGCCATCTTTCAGATGATGCCCACCTTCTTCTCAATTAGTAAAGACCTAGAAATGGAGGTTTAGCCTCTCCAGGGCTGATGGCAACTCCTGGCAAGTAGTGTAAAGAATAGGGGCCTGTTTTGCTCATGAAAAAGTCATTTCTTTTCATCATTGTGTGTCCAACTCCCCAAGTGAAAAAACAGTGTTTAAACGGAGTGGATTTTTTCTGAAATGTTAGAGCTGGAAAAAGACTAAAAAAATCTATTTTGATCTGATTCTATCTTTGAAGAGAAATACGTGGAAAAGCCTCAGGTAGTAGGTTAATGGAGGTCATGTGAATCAATATGTACAAATATGGTTAGATAAGATTAGCTGATTTGTACATACAGAAACACTCTCTCAGGAAAACACAGTGCAATCGTATCACCTCCCACCTCTTCATGCACTGTGATCATGCTTTCAATTATCACATTCTTTCTATGGCTTCAGAATTGTTATTTATAAGATAAATGCAAGACTTCTTGTTACATTAGATTTCTTATATTACCAAAATAAATGTCTTTTGTTTAAAGGTTAATAGGAGCAAGAAATGCAAACATCTGATTTATTTTGAGTACTTTGATGATATGAGAAAGAACAGCTCCAGAAAATGAAATGTGATCACCAACTTCTAATACCTTTTCTACAGCGATTCCCTTTTTCAAACCTTGCCTTCAGTGGACACCCCACCCCACCCCCATTTAATAAATGTTTTTAATGTTTAAACTTCAGGGGCAGAGAATGAAGAAAATATGTTTATTCCTGGTAAAGCTAATTAAATGATAATTTTCACAGATCTCAGCTAAATGATGAAGAACATCGCGTTCTCCAAGTGCAAATATAGCTCAGAAGACACACACACACAAGATTGCAATGGAAATGTCCTGTAAGTTACATTAGTTTTTCTCACAGGAGCCCTGGACTAGATAGCAACAGAGGCTGTGAGGATCTGGAGTACTAGAACTTCCAGTGCAGCAGTTCTGATTTTTTAACGTTGTTCCCCCTGAGATGCAAAATGGTCCCCAATAATGAGAATGTACGGTTAGCACAATTGGTGCTTCAGAGGGGATAACAACATGAGGATATACAGCTCATGAGCACCATGAAGACATGTAGGAGTATTCTCCTACTGTATCTAGTAAGTTTGGCCATTCTTCTGCATTGCTTTTCTGGTCTGTCCTCTACTGGAAGTGGAGACAACTGTGTATTGTTTAAAACGGCCAGGCCGAAAGATGAATTTGGAGACATCTATAAATGTTCACAAAAAGTGGAAAAAACCAGACTCCTGACACCATAACAGCTGTACAATACTCTGTCGTCACAGGAGTGTGTGGATTTATGTATTAGCAAAAAAAAAGACTATCAAATCATAGGCCAGATCCTAAAATGTCTGCTGAAAGGCCAGTGCACCTTACTGTGTTCAGACCTGAAATGGATGCTTCAGGGGTAGGACAAACCAGGAACTTTTGCATGAGTCTTGTAAAGAACAGGAAGAGCTCCATGTTGGCAAAGTTTTCACCTGCACCTGCTCTGCAACCTGGATTGGAAAGTAGGAGAGGCACGAGTTTTAAAATTCTTTGCCTCCTGAAATTTGGAAACAAATAAAAATCTCAGGCTAAATTTCCTTTCTATCTAACTCCTTTGAGAATCCAGAAACTAAAATAAACAGATCCAAATGAGACGTTTACTACTCCTTTGTAAAAATTTTCCTTAAAATTTTAAGGAAATTATTACATGAGAAGAATTCAAGAAGAGGGCAAATTTGCTCCTGAAAATAAAAATGATGTAACCACTCATGCAATTTTTGGATTCTCATATTGTTTTCACTTTTGAGTCTTTAATCACTAGTCTCTATTTAGTAGTCTACAGTTGAACACTCACAGATGTTTGAAGTATCTACATTATCTGAAACATGCACAAGGGGCTTATGTGGCACAGGACCTTTCTCCCCCAGTCTGGCAGCTGAAGGCCAAGCAAAAAACCCGAGGGTGCCTAAAATGGTGCTAGAGGCCTGGGGTTAAAGCAATTGAATTGTGCTCTGTGTATCAACTTTTAAGTGGATTGAATCTCCTCATAATTATTTAATTATTTACAGCCTAATGATTGGAATCTTGTTCGGGTAAGGAGACAAAGGCATATGGAGAAGCGCTGATATGAAACCCCCCAAACCAAGGGAATGAGATCAAATGAAAGGGAGTGTTCAGAGGAGCGTCTCCTCCGAGGAGAAGGAACGAGTGTCTTGCTTCAACACCTAGTCTCAGGAGAAATGGCAGAACAGGGAATATTGCCCTTCTAGTGCCAAGTAAAATAGCCAACCTAAGAAAAGCCGAGCTTTAAGGCATATCACAGAGGGTCAGCACTGATTACTGCCCAGGCAGAAGCAGGGACTGAATGCTCCTGAAGAGGGGAAGGATTAGGGAGAAAAGCCAAGGGAAGAAGCCGCAAGAAGGTGTTGGGAGAACATTGGTATATCCAACCCAGCTTCAAACCCATCTGCCTGCCAAGACCAAACAACCATTCTGAAGACCTGAAGACCTGAAGCTCTGAACATCCTACATTCACCACAGAGGCTCTGCAGTGCTTATCTTTAAGCAGGACAGTACAAGCTAGGCACAGCTTCATGGTCTGTATGTCTCTTTGGAGAAACCTGGACTTGGGAGTGTTTTTGGGGGATGTGCTTTCAGCAAACACACATTACCAAGTGAAAATTGAAGTAAGAATGTGAAAGCTGAGGTTTTATATTATTTAGCCCAGATTAGGTGCTCTAATAGGTTAATCCATGAGTCATCAATTAGTCCACACTTCTGGTCCACTTCTGCCCTCCCCCAAGATATAAAAAATAAAAGAACACCACTTTGTTTTAGAAGTACTGGAAACCTTCATTAAGATGTCATGCTGTGCATTATTTTGGCCAAAGAATGAAGAAGGCAGATATCATGAAAAAGTAATTGAAACATTTTTGAAGCAAATGGATGCTGATTAGAGCTCTAGAAACGTGTTACAGCACACGTTTTATAGGGTTTGGGGATGATGTTAAATGAAATAGCAGGGCTGAGGTCCAGGTCTGAGGTAGAAACTCCAGGGGGGGTGTGGAAGGTGAATCTCTGCAGGAGGCTGGTGAAGAAGAGGAAGAGCTCCATTTTGGCAAGAGTCTCACCGGCGCAGATCCTCCGCCCTGGAATAAAATGCAGAACAACCATAAGAGAGTCAGTGGGAGCTGCTTCTTCAATAGTTGGAAGAAATAAAAACCTCTGAGCAACTCTTATTCCGAGGAAGATCAGCGGGAATCCAGAACACTTGAAATGTCACATCCTAGCTATGAATAAAGAGCACAGTAGCTCTTAAAAGTCTCTTGAGTACAAGAGTCATCTGAGAGAGAGGATACTTGGTCTTCAGAGGTATTATAACAAAGCCACCTGGTGATATTTTTTCTTTTCATTTGTCTAAATGTTTGCGTTTGGGGAGAAATGTATGGAAATGCAATTTGAATTGCTTAATTCCAGTTTTCAATAAAATCTGTATTTTTCTTCATTTTCAGATTTTTTCTCTACTTGGTACAATTTTTGGATCCCAGACCAACTTTGGCTGGTCTAGTCTAGTCTTTGGCTCTATTAGTCTAGTCACAGGCAAGTTTTTATGTTAAAATTTGTCAGAAAAGACCTTGGAGACTCACAAATGATGGCTAGAGTGTGACTCTAGGAGGAAGGTGGTGGAGATATTCTATGGAGTGTGGACATGTTCTATGGACCCCCTAATATAAGTCTTTCTTCAAAAGCACTGTGAATATAAATTTTTCTCAGTCTTGGACAAATTCAGCAGCTTGTAAACTGTCTTAATCAGAGCATGATGATTCAAGGCCAGAACTAACAAAAACCTGAACTAAGATTTGATTTTAACTCCCTTGTATGACAGAAAGTGGAAAATGAAGCGCTGTTGCATGGCTTTGCTATGAAATAAGCCTTCCAGGGAATGCCCAGCCCTGACACTCCCTGGATGTGCTTTCATCCAGGACATCTAGACTTAAATCTAAAAAAGAAGGCCTGTGAATTGGAAGTATCATAAGTCCTTCTATGAAAAAAATTATTTACTGTATGTTGGATGGTGAGTATGACAAGGAAAAACCTTATTCAAATATCATGCAGAATTAAAAATACACAAACAGGTTCTATGAAAAATGCAGAGTGTTGTGGATATGATAGACAAGTTAGCCAGAGACTGATGTATAGGAACTTAATTGAGCAATGACAGAGCCTGCAAAGCAGGAAAAATGCCAGAGAAGGAGCAGTCATCATGGGGGTCGGAATCTCCCACGCTTTGGCAAATGGTGCAGGTGCGTAAGCTTAGGTGAACATCACGCTCTGTGGAAGCCTCAAAAGGCAACCCCTTTCTGTCCTTTGATTTTACACAGAATTTGGGTTTTTACATAAGGCAACTCCTCTTTGTTGGCACAGTATATGAAGTCTTGATCCCAGCCGACATTATTCGTGAGTTTTTAAAAGGGACGTGCAAAAATGAAACATGGTTCCCCAGGAAAGACACAGAAGCCACCTTTCCTGCGTGCTTTGTGTGTGGTCATAGACAATGCAGCTGGGTATGGTAAGAGTCAGAGACAAAGAAACCCAGGCCATAGAGCAGTTGTGGGCTACAGATTATAATGCAGAAATGTGTTATCTAAACCATCATGGAATTTGCTGAAAACCTCCCTCATATTTAAGAAGGCACTACAAATTCTCATTTAAAAACATTGAATACTAACTGAGAAACCAATAAGATCCAGAGGTTGGAGGAATTAGCAGACATTTGTGAGTACTCTCTCTTATCAGTGGTGTGTCCTGAGAAATCTGTGAAATATGGGTTGTGAAATGGTCCCATGAAAAAGAGTGTGGAGGCCAGGCTGTAGTAACAAAAAAACCACTGGTACAAGTAGTTCTTGTCTAAGATCTGTACTTGCAACAGCAGTAAATGGAAAAGAGAAGGCACCTGCTGAAAAGGGCATGAAAGCATCTTTCTTCACAAATTTTCCGTTGGCATCAAGAAAGTGCTCAGGATAGAACATGTCTGGTCTCTCCCACTGCGATTTGTCTTGCAGGACAGAGGTCAGTAAGGGGATAATGTAGGTTCCCTGCAAAATAAGACAGTGGAATTAATCCGTGGACAAATATTGTGGTGGCAGTAATGGCAATAAGACTTCAAGACTGTCAGCCTGGAGAAAGAGATTATTCTGACTGCTGTTATGTGACTTCATTAGAGAGTTCAGGTTTATCACATTAATCAGGTCTGAGAAAGAAGAAATGCTAAAAGAAACAATCCTGTAGGCATCTCACCTTGGGAATGAAATAGCCTTTGAGAGTGACATCTGCAGCAGTCTCATGAGGCAAATTCAATGGCAGGATATTAGCGAACCTCTGAATTTCATGGATGACAGCATCTGTATATGGCATCTGAGTTCGATGCTCGATCCGTGGGGGGTTTGACCCTATCACTTGCTCTATCTCTTCTTGGACCTTTCCTGAGGAAAGAATCAACTATAAGAAAGAGACAAGGACTCATTCATCCCTGAGACATACTGTGCTTTACTGATATAAAGTATAAAAGACCATAAATTCTCCCAAAATCTTTCCTTCCTTTCAGAAATAATGGGAGGTGGACAGAACTACAGTGTGTGATTACTTCTTTACCAATAAGAGACCTAAAGACTTGCATTTTTCTGCCCTCTCTTCTGTCTAAAGTTTCTTGCTCTGACCAAGAAGTGTCTCAAACCCCCCACTTGACTCCTAACAACGCTGTGCCATAAACTGGAATGGAGATGTCAGACAAAGAGCAATTCCCTGAATCTGCTCAGGTATTTAAAGCCTCAGTACAGTCCATTTAACATCTGCACAGGCCTTTGGTTTATCAACAGCCTGTTTCTGAGGGAAACCTGGAACAATTTCATTGGCCAACACAGGGCAGCTCTCTTTTTAATTAATGAGATTTTACTGAGCAAGGGACCTGGCCCATATAAACTCTGTTTATAATCTACTGGTAGGCTGACTAGTGTGCCCCTCACGGGGTCTGAACCACAGGGTACAGCTATACCTAGACAATAATTAGCTGGAAATCTTGGCTTTTTGTAACTTAGTGTACTAACAGATATGTTGACTGTCCAGGTTCCTGTTCAGTTCTTAATGTACTGAGTGTAACAGCATCTGTCATAAAAGCACTTACTCTGAATTTCAGGGTACTTTAGCATCAGCAGAATGCTCCAGTTCAGCGTGGTGGAAATTGTCTCAACACCAGCAGTAAACAAATTGCTCACCAAGCTTAGCAAGTTGTCATTATGGAAATACCCGTTGGTAGACGATTTCTCCTGAAAGAAGTGGTTGAGATAAAAGGATGAAAACTTAAAGCTTTCCATGTGAAAATGCAATTTACATAGCTAAACATTTACTAAGAAATAAATCCTATATTTTAAAAAAGTGTGAAAGACAAAGAAAATCTTTGGGCTTGTACCTGGACAAGAGTCCAGGTTTTATGTTTTGCATGGTCTCTGCATTTACTGGGGCAAGCTGCAAAGAGAGCTGGTTTCTCTATGAAGAATGTAACCCTGATATATCAGAGACCCCAAATAAGGATCCCGGTAAAGCCCGGGTAGTGCTTTTGTTCTGTAATGCATTATGTTTTTGAAAGAGCCAGAAGGGCTAGGACAACAGAGAGAACAGATGAAAAGATACAGCCTCTGTAAATATATTGATACAGTCTGAAGAAAAGCATAAATAAGGATAAATGTTTGCTGATTAAAAGGGGTTGGAACTGCAACAGGGTGAACTATCTGTTCGACGCTACCGGTTTGTTATACGTGTTTTGTCAAAGATAGATTCCCTAAAGAAATATAGCTATAATTATAAGGGCTGAAAGGAAATTGTAAATGTCTTCATATAAACATGAAAGTTGGAATAAATGAGAAAAGATTCAGTTACCTCCTGCTGTTTAACCAGGAAAGCATCAATAAAACTTCTTTGATCATTTTTGTCCAGGGTTTTGAGATGTTCTATAAAAGTAACTTGTACAAAAGCATGGAATTCATCTCTGTTTTGGAGGAGAGTCTTGTTAGCCTTTAGGAGGAATCCAAGGTGTGGGAAGATGTTGTACATCTGCAAGAGTGAAAGATGTTAGAGAGAATTTACCAGCCAGAGGTCTGAAAACACTACAGAAACAAATTAATAATATTGTGCCCGTTTTACAGATACAAAGGCAAAGTCTTAACATTAATGCTTTGTTCTTTAGAACATGAAAAAGTGACTGGATGAATTCATGGTAGAAAAATCCATCAAGGACCACTGAATACATGGAAAACTCTCCACCCCAAATTACTGTTTTGCAGGAGTAGTGTAGTTGTCAGACACAAACACCTGTAACTTGCCACCAGGGATTTGGAAATGTTGGCCTGCAACTGTTTTTATTGTTTTAGCCAGCTCTTCTGTGACCTTTTATTTTCTGTTTCAAAGCCTAAAGGAAGAGAAGTGAATCTGGTGTGTGGCAGCATTGCATGTGAGTATCAGAGAGTATTTATTACTCATTGAGACGTTTCAGTGACTGGAAGCATGGGAAAATAGATTTTGTGTCAGAGCTCCTTTTACCGGTAGACCACGTACTGTATAGCTTCTCCCTGCCCCGTGTTCTGAGAGTGTACTGTTCTGCCTGGTTACTTTATACGCGTGAACTGTATTTTTGGGGAATGCTGAGCTTGCTGTTCATGCACTACGCGGTCTGATTTTTTCAGTCCAGGTTTAGCACTCTTCAAACTACAGCTTAAGTATGTTTTTGAGAGACTGGGGGTTTGATTGTTGGCTTCAAGATTCCCAGACTGTCTCTCAAGCTCTGTTTTGCCCCAGAAAGTGCTTGTAAACCTATTATCTCTCAGTCTCAGATTTTTCTGTTTAATAGGAACAATTGACTACCAGTATTACTATGTTTCTATGGCATCCAGTGAAACAACAACATAAAAATATTTATCATTACCGTAACCAAAGGTCTCCCAGCAAGCCTCATGTTTTCATTGGTCAAACGTAGAAGTCTCACAAATCTGGAGTCTTTGTAGTCAAATCGTTTTCCAAGTAATATTGATACAATTATGTTAGCAACTGCTGCATTAATTATTTTACTAGCATCAAAGGGCTTTCCTATACAATGAACAAAAGAATATATTACACTGTGGCAAGAGCTGTAATTTGTAAATGTAAATTTAATACTAATTACTGCTATTTATTTGTTATGATTGATTGCTATTATTGATTATTATTCAATGTTAGAATACCATGCCAAGACACAAAAATGCCAGAGGAGCCTAATTCATCAAATTGATTCAGCCTGAAGTACGTTTCTTAAAAAGGTCTGAACTTGAGAAGCGTACTGGCAAGCCTCTGGGTACTTGAACAAAACCTTAGAGGTTTGAAGAATGAATCATCTACCCACCTTTTTGTGACCCAATGGTGTCTACCAGATGCCCGTACTCCTCCACAATGCGATCCTCAATGGCCCTTTTCCCCATTCCAAAGTCTCGTAAGGCTGTGAGTGTAAATCTTCGCATCAGCTTCCAGTTTTCACCATGAGCAAAAACGATCCCTGACAGAAGAAGAGAACATTTCAAGGTGGCAGAAGATTTTAAATAACTAATTTGTAGACAAATAATGTAGCTATTTAGTAGCAGTCACTTTTAAAACAAGCTAAATTATATCTGGCTGAGGAAAAAACCAACTTTCCCTTAAGTATTTTCAGGGCTCAACAATAGGTTTATTGCACAAAAAAAAGGAGGATAAACTATTTAAGAGGTATTTAACCAAGTCTTGAGAAGAACATATATCTCTGAGAGACAGTTGTCACTGAAAGAAAGAGGACATTGGAAATTCAAGTTCAAACCGCTGATCATCATATTTTGGAAGTGGAACTGAACTGAGATCTCATGTCTCTGATGATTGCAGGAGAAACCTGACTAGGCACAAATGTCTTTAAAATTTAGGTAGCATTTTAAAACCTCCTCAATCAGTTTTTTCACTGAAATTGTTACACCATGTAACTAATGACTTTGGTTATATTTTTTCCAAGGAAAAAAATAAGGTGTTAAGAAAGCTTACACGCAATAATGTGATCAAATGATGCAACTGTTCAAATGTTCACAGAATTATTCCTGAATTTGTCCAAGGGTCTTTGGAGATGTAAATACGAAACTCCCATGAAAAATTAGAATGAAGTTTGGGTATGAAATTCTCATTTGGAAACCCAGGTCAGTATACAGTATTTCCCTTATTAAAATAAATCCCCAATTCTGTATGTGTTCCATTTAAATGCTTCATTTGGATTTTAAAAGCACTATTCACCACTTGAAATGAGAAGTAGTGGTATAATAGTCATTTCAGGAAAAGGAGTTTCTATGGTAAGCCCAAACCAACAGAAGTCTGGAACCATATCATGAGAGCTAGAAATGCCTTCCCTGGCATGCATGCCCCTGTTCTAGATCCTGAAAGTGTGACACTATCCATTATCTGTTGCTGTGGCTATTGTTAGAGTTATGGTGGTTTTTGTTGTCACTGTCAGTAGTTTCAAATTTGAATAAATGCACTGAAATGAATGAAATTTCTCCCTGTTTCCAATGCCTTATATGGTCTCTGATCCAAAGTAACGTGCCAGCTTCTGCTTTGTCTCTAGGAAAAAACTTTATGAATAAGTCAAGCTGGTAAGGAAAAATAAAACCAACTTACCATTTCCTCTGGTCAAATCTTCAAAGATTGGGATTTTAGGTCTCTCTGCAAATGCATCTGCCTGGTTTACGAGAGCTTCTTTCACTGTCTCATATCCAGAAATCACTACTATTTTCCTTTGGCCCATCTGAACACTGAAGACTGGACCATATACTTTTGACAGCTGTCAGAAGAAGATAACAGTGATTTACAGCTTTTACAGCTTACAAAGAAATTCACCACCCTTTCAGTCCTGCTAATTTTCATGTCCTGCCTCTAAGTTACTAACATGTTAAATGTTTTCCTAAGTACAAAGTGAATTGATTTAAACAATGTGAATGTGCCAGACATTATGATGGTAAAGGGAGAGATGGCATAGTCAGGAGTGGAGTCCCATTGTGCTAAACCGAGCAGAAGTGTTAACAGCTGAAACCCCAAGTCAGTCAAGGATTGTGCTGACAGCTCTGTCTTCCCTCAGAAATCCCTGTAAATTCAATTTTTTACTCATGTTTTCACACTGATCTCTGTGTTATTGTGTTTCTTTTGTTTACAGGCTAAACCTGTTCAAACCTTTGCTACTATTATTGTATAAAAAAGCCAGTGTGTTTCTAGTCCAGGATCTAGCATTAGGCAAATTCTCACTTTTTATATATGACTACATCCACCATGAATCTGTCTGTCCTGGTTTTGGCTGGGATAGAGTTAATTTTCTTCCTAGTAGCTGGTACAGTGCTGTGTTTTGGATTTAATATAAGAATAATGTTGATGATAACACACCGATGTTTTAGTTGTTGCTGAGCAGTGCTTACACTAGTCAAG